TACTTTTTATCAATCTGTATCTCTACCAAGGTCCAGCCATTGTTTCCAACAGCATTGTTATTTTCAGTATTTTGCCTTTTAATCTATATATAAATATTATATCCTCTCAGTCTGCACAACCTGACCTCTCTTTGTATCCCTTTTATGGTCTGAGTACTGTGATTGACCTGGTCTCCGTTCTCCTGGCCCCACCACTGCCCAAGTCTTCATTATATAGGATGAGTTACAGCTAGTAATATATACTCTCCAACTTCTGATATGAATACTTTAGTTTTTGCATATTTAATATAGCATGCAGCAATTTCTAATATTCACCATCACCCACAAATTTGATGCATTATATTTTCCTTCTCAATAATATTTGAAGTCCAGTAGTATTAATACTAAAAGATCTAGTTGTAAGGGAAGGTGGAAGAAGAAACACAGCAGTGGCGGATCCAGGAATTTGAAATAGAGGCGGCCAAGGGAGGGACTTTTACAGATGGAGTGTCTAAACCACCTCAACCCAGGAGCGGCACCAGGAATTACCTGACGAGGGTCCAAGCTCCCGACAGGGGGTTCCACGCTCCTCCCCCTCCGTCTGGATGTTGATTATGGGATTCTTTATTTAAAAAGTACTAGTCCCCCTGTCGGGTGTACTAACGCCCTGTCGGAGGTGCCAGCCCCCTGTTGAGGAAGAGCTGGCACACCACTGCAAACTATATTATCGCAATAGTATACAAAACCTCGCACATATGTAGCACTGCTCGCGCGACAGTTTTTAATCCCTAAAAATTTTGACAGCTGAATTGTACTTTCAGCACTCGAGATTTGATTTTTTCCCTGACGACCTTGCTAGAAATTCCCCGACAGGGGGTCTAGGGGTCTGTGACTGGGGGGTCCTTCGCCCTCCTAGGCCCCTGCTAGCGCAGTCCCTGCCTCAACCACACCATGGTTGGGACTGAGACATGAACATTTATGATTATGGCACCTAGATGGCCGTACTTAAATTTTTATATAATTTTCTTTTTTCTCAATTTTTGTTATAATTTTGAAAAAAATTCAAAGGTGGGTGGGCCGACTGAATGTGCCAATGCACAGATTGAGTAATTCTGGTAGCTAGCCACAATGGAAATTATTTTCCTACAACTCCTTAAAACATTTAACAGGAGACTCAATTCCCTTTTTTATGTGTTGTATTTTTGGATGGATTGTTTATGAAATATAAATTAGAAAAAAAAAAAATTCTCAGTAAAGGGTAGTGTCTTTTTGTTATCCAAAACAAGGCAATTTTTCATGCTTTTTTTTTTCAATCCATCTTTGTAACATATCACATCGCCTATAAACATAGTCCTTGATATATAGAAATCATTCCTTTTGGTACATAAGGCTTACAGTGATGAAGATAAAGGCTTGTCAGAGCTGATGTGAAGCTAATTCCTGCTTTCCATGCGTGTCGCATATTCACGTATTCAGTACAGTATATTCCAGGAATTGTCAACGGGCATCTAATATAAAATGAGTACATAACACTGGTTCATATCCAATCACAGAATGGATATCTCAGCATGATGAACGTGCAAACATAAACTGTCATTTTAAGTTTGGATATAAACGGCAGTAGTATAGACACGTTAATGCTCGTTTCAGGAAAGAAATATATGTCTTATGAAACACAATCTGTATGATATTGCTTAGAAAATCTACACAAATTCAATCTGTAATTAAAGAATTTTGAAAGATGGCTATGTGCTTTGCTTATTAATGTGGATGGTCTATGCCAGACTCGAACTTTACTTGTTTTTGGATTCGGAGATCTCAAAATGTTGAATAATCTGAAAACTTAAAACCTGCAATACAATCGTCCTGCTTGACTGACAGTTCCATTAAAAGACAATTAGTATAAAAATAATTATTTTCTTACACGCAATTCAGGTTTCAAGAAGAATTAATATGTAAATTTTAAACAATTATAGATTTATGAAGGACTGTTTGGTAAACAGTAGTGTTTAATGTGAAAAATAATGCTCTAAGATGTGCAAATTTTTCGTCCGTCCCCATATCAGTAGATTTTCACCATTATAAAGAGGAGCTGGGAGGATGGCTATCAGTTTGGACAGGTCACCGAGAGTGTTAATTGTTAAACTATATTTGAGAGGGGATTTAAAATTCTTTATTGAATCGGGCCCATGAGGAATTCCTCCATGAGGCCTAGATGATAAGAGGAGTGGGTGGAGGAGGAGTACCACTGAAGCATATTGAATATGCAATTTATTTTGAGGAACGGCCCGGTTGACAGTACACTAGTTCACACACATTTAAAGAAAGAATATTGGTTTTGTAATAGTGATAGAGAGGTGGGCGTCAAAGGAATTTCAAGGGAATTTTATGACGAAAAGTTTGCAAAGGCAGAATTTGTACTGTAGGCCTATACATTTACAGATTGGGAAAGCTAATTCAGGTCTTTGGATCAAAATTCATGTTCTTTCTTATAGGCCCACTGTTTAATTTGGGACTAATCAAATTGAGATGTAGTTTAACGGGGATTTGCCATACTATAATATGAGCAATAAATAAGCGGTTTTTTTGAAGGACCATAGTACGTTGTAACCGGTAAACAATTCAAAATGTTTAGACGAGCTAATTATGAGGTCATGATATGCACATTTTCATTATTATTGATTAAAAGGTTTGCTATAAACTTTATTTTCTTTCTTATGTTTTCATAAATTTCACTCCAATCAACGTCATCACTCCCCGTCTCCTTCCACGTCTCCTACCACATCTCAGTCACCCCCTCCACTTCGTAGCTTGGTGTAATATCGAACTTGCTAGTTCTTTGTCTACAATGTGTTACGTAACACTATTGTGTCATTTTACCTTGATCTATCGATGCTCAAGCGCCTTGATTAGTGTTTTGTGTTGATCATGTAGCTATGGTAATCATCCGAGGGTTTCCGTTAATTCTTTAACAATATCAGCTTCGATGTGACACCGGTATCAGAAGATCCACCAAATAGTAAAGAAGAATACTGGTATGTATAATTAAGTATATCTTATACCAAACAATGCACGTAGCACTG